ATTTTAAAACAATCATTTTCCTTTAGCTTCACAATTAGACACTATGCTGTTTCAGTCCGTCACATAAAAATCCTAATGAAGCACTCCAAGGTTTGTGGCTGCAACATCTGAAACGGTTTAAGAGATGTAATTACATTTAGAAGGATCTGTAAATGGCTGTAAAGTGGGAGTGATGGATTTTTAACTTGACGCTGAACAGTTTACGCTCTTCTACTGAAGGAGTACTAAAGCAGCATTACTGAATGAGGCACAGAGGTTAAGTCTTTGAGTCTCCCTTTTACTATATAATCTCAGGTTGCTTGGTAAATATTTTACAAAAGAAATGTGATATTCTCTGGCCACAGCCGTTATGAAACATGCAGTTTGCAGGATTGAGACATTTTTTTTTCCTGTCATAAGTATTTCTATTGACATCAGCTTGAAAGAACTCCAGCTTGAAAAAAGGATTTCCAATATTTTCTGGATTTATACATGGCTTGTTTCAATTTTCTGACGTGTAGTAAAAAAAAAAAAAAAACATTCAGTAATTTTTCGCAGCAAAACCCCTTTTTTTTGCGTATTTCTGGAGAGATTAACTTCAGTATTTTCTTCCATCATTAAAAGAGTGAAGTTGTTGGACTGAGTTGAACAGTGTTGTGTATGTAATAAGCAACAAGGGAAATAAAATGTCATCAGTATTTCCTTGATCAGACATTATAAAAGGAATATTAGTTTCCTCTGATCACTGGCTGACTTTTTAAATATCATTAACAGCTGATGAAAGAAGATTGTTTTTCATTTCATAAATTTTAAATGATGAAACCTGATGATGAATGCAGAGTTAAATGTGATGAGACCACCTTCTTATTAGTCTTTTAAGGAGTCCCAATAAAGGAGAATATTTGACTTGTGTGGCTGGACATTACATTCTGGAAAGCAGAAAAATGAGTCAAATTAATCAGTGTAACTGGAAAGTCATGGAGTTGGACTTCCTTTAATTTACAATGTTGGTACGTAGCTCTCGGTTAATATTCTGACTCGCCACCCGTCATCTCGATGTGTCTTTATTTTTTTAATTTTTTTTCAGTCTCGCAGGATCTAGGTTTATTTTGGCTCGGCTCCAAGTCCTGTGTAAATACCCCTCTAATCTAGTGTTCCCTGGTCTGTTGTCGTGCTTTTATTGCTCCAACTGATCTGTGATTGTTGGACACTTTAAGGGGTCGTGCCTGAACACAGCCTGCGTACTGCGAGCTACTCACTTCTTCACAAAAGCACATGAAGACATTGGGTCACAAGACGGTCAGTGAGCAGACAATGTTCAATGTGTTCAGTCTGATGCAGCAGGAGGCTGGGACAATGGAAGAGGCCACATGAGTGGGTAGTGGGACAGTATAACATCTAAACCTTGTGCTCTGGCACGTCTCAAATGAAATGCAGAGTCAGGATCTTGGAGTTATTGATTGATATTGGTCTGAATTGTGAGCGCCAACCTAGTCTTTTCTTCTTTTTTTTCCCCCCCCGACTTTTACTATTGCCATCCATTCACTGATGTGGACAGGAAAGCAGACAAAAGCTCTCTTGTGTGTTTTTGCTGGTTTTGCTCACATGACTCGTATGCATTAGGAGCCACAGCGGTGTCCACCGCTGCCTGATTGTAGATTACAGACTACACTGTGGTTACTGAAGATAGGAGCCATGTTCAGTAACCGATTGATCGGCATCAATCGGTGCACCCTTAATTACGATCATGACCTTACTCAGCCGATACTTGTGGCACCGATCTTATCCTACAATCGTATCTACCTCTTCAAAGGTCTGAATATCAGCCACTGTCTCCCTTTGCGAGAGGATTGGCTGACAGACCCGCCTACTGCGCAATGTAGAGCACTGCCTAATGAACAGTTAAATTAAGTTTGTATTTTTTCACAGTCATCATTCACTGATTTCAATAAAATTGGCACATTCAAGCGGAGGCAGGGAGAAGCTTCAGTATTAAAAGTTTTTTACTCTATCTTGTACAGTTGAATCAGATGTTTAGTTTATTGTCTTATGGAAAGCCAAATGTCAGATTAATGAGAATAATCCTTCGTCTGTAAACTTTAGGAGTTTATATACACTAAGATTGCTATGCCTTTAAACCTCAGACACATGCTGCTGCCTTGCATGACAACATGGATACGTCCAAATATATCAAAAAGATGCTGAAGTAACAAAACGTCTGCTAGGACGTTGAAGGTTTGGCACAAGTAGGTCTTCCAAATGTACAATGGCCCTAAGCGTCCAGCTAAATTAGTTACAAGATGGCTTCTAAAATTTGTGGCAGGAAGCTTTATCCTTACAGATTAAAATCGTTTCTACATGTACTAAGACTAGTAAGACGATGTATGTAAACTTGTAATTTATCGAAAGTTTAAAAAATAAAAAAATAAAATAAAAAATCCTTCCCTAAATCTGATACTCAGAAAATAGAAATAGTTTTGGTAATCCTAACTGACCTAAATTACAAATTTTAGTCTGATGTCTGACGGTGAGGCTTGTCTTTTTATGTAGTGTGTTTAAACATGTGGTTTCAACTGTATAAACATTCCTGCTTCATGTAAACTGGATCTGAGACCAGAGGTCTGGTCTTTCAACTCTTAAAGGTTTGGAGAGTTGAAGGATAAAAAAAAAAAAAATTCTTTCTTCCCCCCCGAATCTTGTAGGTAAAATCTCTACCAGATCTGTTGAATTCATTTCTTGCTGCTTGCTTTGTCTTGTAATTCTGTTTTAAAATCCTAATTCTTTTTTCCCCCCCTCTACTTTTTTCACAGCGAACACCACAACTACTGGTGGAAATGGTGAAGGAAGTGGCTCAGACTATTTAGCTTTTGCCTTAGTGTTGGCTTTCTTCGTCGTGGGCCTTACCGGGGTGGTGGTCTGCCACGTTCTGAAGAAGAGGGGCTACCGGGTCACCACCGCCCAGGAAGACGACGGATATGATGATGTGTTTGAGGAAGCCGAGGAGGCTGAACGACGAGGTAAGAGACGTTTATATTTACGTGATTTATGCACACAGCCCGTTTCGCTACGTAAACCAAACGGAAAGAAAAAATACGTTAGAACTTAAAAAAACGGATATGTTTATGCCTTCTAAAAGCATGTCGGTGTCCTGTAGGTTTTTAGATGTATCCCTGCTTCAACACACATGAGTCAATTAATCGGGTAACTAGCAGGTCTCTGGAGAACTCGACTGCACTGAGGTAACTCAGCCATTTGAGGCGTGTTGGACCAGGGACGCATCTAAAAGTTTCAGGACACTGGTCTTTTATTTGAAGATGCCTGGTTATCTCTTATTGAAGATGGATCTGCTGACTTCCATCACTGATTGATGCATATCCAGTTTCATTCTTAGTGATTTTAATATGTTCTGTGTTGCAGTGCATAGTGCATAGTCACTGTGGTTCAGACACAATCATTTTTGATTAGATCAGAGAAAGCCATGCCCACTGTCTTATCTAAGAAAAAAGTAGTAGTTTTTTTTTTTTTTTTTTTGTTTTTTTTATAAAACAGCCTTGGTGTGAAAGTAATACTTTCTCTGAATAAAATCAGGGTTATTTCAGGCACTTTGACTCATTCCTTATTGTCTGCATCCTTCCTGTCTGAGCTAACTTGCGATTTGAATCACTGATGTTTAAACAGATCTCAGCCTACTGAATTTCTGAAATCTATGTTGCTTTTGACATGAGTGGAGTTACTGATGTTTTGTTGTTGCTCTGACTGTATATAGGCAGAGTAAAGTGGCGAACAAACACAGGGCATCATACATGTAGTGGCACGAGGTCAGATTGTTTTTTTTTTTCTCTTTCACTTTCTGTTTTTCTGTAATGCTTAATTGGCTTTGATGGCCTTCTTCGTTAAAAGTAGTTTATATGAATAATTACCAAAAAGATTTTTAGGATATTCAGGTGCAGTTGCCTCTGTGGGCTAAGTTAACATCCTACAATTTGTATTCACAGAACTAAAAATATAGTCATAATTCTTTAGATGGCGACTTTTTGTTTCATTGAATTTATTTATTTATTTTTTTTTCAGCATAAAATTACCTTGGTATCCCTCGTCAAATTGCTGTATCATTGTGCTTTGTTACCGCAACAGGTTGTGTTACATTCCCTACGACGCCTTTACAGTGGAAACCAGTTTGGCATTTACGTTACTGGTAACCCGACACATTGCCTAACAATAATGGTTGAGAATCAAGTCTGTAGGCGGCTGCTGGAGGTTTAAAACTACTCATGGAAAAAAAAACCTTTACAATCCTCATAAGCTGATGAGGCAAAAACATTGTTGATTTGTATTGAACTACGGGGCAGATGAACAGCAAAGCTGAAAAGGATAAGGATGCCGATGAGCCTTGATGCTTCGTGCTGTGGCAGCACAGCAGCCGACACCGAACTTATCCAGAAATTTGAATAACAGCAGCAGCACCCAGTATCTGTCGGAGTAAATATAGTAAGCAACACACTACTTTCTGCGAGAGTCTAAAATTTCCTTGATTACTGACGACCTCTTCTGTCTGCATACCAGTAGGGATGGGACACACTCTCACACCATGCCATTTAGAGCTTTATTTAAACAATGGCAGAAAGACAGACCGTCTTAAGACCAAACAGAACAGGCCTGTAAGGTAATGACAGAAGAAGAGATGCACCAATTTTTGTAGCCAATTAGATGCGTTTTCTTCAACTTAAGTTCAGCCAAAATCAATTGGCCAAAAATCCTTTTAAATGTGAAGTGTGAGCGTTGGTGTTGACAGGTGTGGATATTTAACCCCTTAACTGACGACCCTTGGATGCGAGTCGGTGGGTCCATGAGGACACTGGCATCCTCATGACAGAGACTGAATGTGCAGGCGTTGTATAGTGTGTAGCAAAAAGCCAAACCAAATCGATTGACAAAGTGGACCAAGCCTAGGTTCAGAACCGAAATCCCAGTTAAATGTGCAATGTGGGGTAAGTGAGAACACCTCAGAGCTTAGTAACAAGTGAGTTTTAGTATAATCAGGAGCTTTAGCTCCAGGTTTTTACAGTTAGAGCCTTAAAGACCTTGAGCCAGACGCCTGGCCACTCCCACTATGAACAGACAAGCGGCATGTCCTCACATGAAAAATGTCAAGGTGGCAGGGAGTACTGAAACTTGACATATTACTCTGCAGCTGCTCTGAGTCTGCCAGACCTCTTCCTGTCAGAGTACTCCAAAGTGATGGGGAGTCAAGGTCTTGCATGATGATTGCTCACAGGACAGTCACTTCACTCTGACTCGATTTCAAGTTGCATGTTTTACAAGTTGAGGTTTCTACAAGAAACCCATTGATAAGATCCCAGTATAATAGAAAACATGTTGCAGATATTTGTTTTATTTAACTTTTATTTTCAAATGTCCTCCACTTGTAGACTATTTTCCGTCTAGCTAAAAGGATCATTTCTGATTCTTTTGAGATGCATTTAAAATCACTTGCCAGACTCTTATGCGGCTAAAGTCTTAAGGTCTTGGACTGATCTGTGGATCTCACTGTGGTGTTGGTTCTCACTTTAATAGTCAAGAGCCTACCAAACTACAGATATGAGGTTTAAACAGGGCAATCTTCCTTTAAAATTACCAAGTAATTATAAGTATGTTTGATAGGAAACACCACGGTGGGATTTTTAATTTTTAGGTTGGAATAAATCTGTGTATGTCTTAATTTAGTCTTCTTCAAAAGTTAAAATGTATGTGTTGCAAAAAAAAAAAAATCTGATATAATATTAGCTGTTTTTCATTATTTTGTCTTGTGCATCATTTTTTATTTCTTACTGCCATCTGTTATCTGCCCATTATGCCAAAACTTGTTGATCAATAAGCACATTATTTCTAACAGTGACAGAAATAGTTAATTTTCTAGAACAGTCATATATTCAATGTTTTTTTTTTTTTTTTTACCAAGCATACTTAAGCAGTAAGATGCATTTTAATCAGGGTTATTCCTTTTAACCTTCTTCTTTACACAGTGGATATTAGCGTAGCTGCTATGTTTTTTTTTTTTCTTGCCCTCCTTTTGCACTGCATCTGCACACAAATTGTAATATACCAGTTCCTGTTGAAGTTATAAGTACCCAGTGCGGAGTGTGTTTTTCTTTCTTTTTTTTCTTGGCCCTAGTTTCCAAACGAGTTTGCATGCATGAGGTTTTCTTTTTCCACTTTCCAGTCATGTGGTGGAGACAAGCAGGGTCAGCAATGAAGCAACCAGGGTGGTGGATGCTTTGGCCTTTTCTCAACTACTCTCAAGCTTCAATTACATTTGTGAAACTGACGCAAGTTAGAGGTTCCCCTTGTAGATCATAATGAGATTTTATATCAAATGTGAAGCCCGGAGGTGGGGAATTGGTTGCAAATCTCTGTCATGAACTGCTATTGAAGGGATTTTTTTTAGCTGTGTGAGCACTCTGTCTTTCTCTGTTGGAGGTGTAAAAAAAAAAGGTGTCTGTTCCTTTAAGGTACAGAACCAGGAAGACTTTCGGCAATTGCATTACTCATACTCCGACTCTCTTGTGGGAGTGTTCAGTGAGGTAGAAGGAGGGAAACAAAAAGCCCCCTCTACCAAACGGTGTTGAATTACAGCTTTCTAGATCGTGCGTAAATCTTTTCCATGGTATCTGCCTCGATTTAAAAAGAAAAGCAATCTGATGTACAGCAGTAAACAAAAGCAAGTCTTTGCTTCGCCCCTTTTACTTCTAGTAAAGGAAAAGGAATTAAAATCTCCATAGCTGGGTATATCTGGGCTTCATCACAGATGTGAGACAAGTGTTAGGAAGGAGTCAGTTTTGACACAACTCTGAGATCCTGTGCCGGTTCTTCTCACTGACACGTTTTCTTCTTGTGATCATGTAGGCTGGACATAAACATATGTAAATGGTGTCTGTCCTGCTGTAGTTCCAGTGGGTTTCTCTCTGCATATACCTGCCATCTTTGTTGGAAAGCTCCACCTTCTTCGTGACATGTTGAAACAAACAGATGTGTAGTTTTTGTCTTCAGCTGATCCTGCCCCACAGTTTGGCTGCCGTTCTTTCTGTTCCACCACACGCCTCCTCTGAAAACGCATCTTTTGCGAACAATGCAGATTCCTGACGAGGATTATGTCACACCAGGAAATACCTAGGAAATTGGTGATACTCCGGAAAATCAGAGGAAGTATTCAAGAAAGGAATCCAGGAAATGCAAGTCGAGGAGAACTAATATTTAAGGGCTGCCTCATCTGATCACTGACGCGGTGTAGAAAATACACAAAGTTTGTCATTCATCTGATAGCATGATGACATTTATAGACACCATCAATATTTTTATTGCACCAAGACCATGTCTCCTGCTTATGTCCTTCCATAAAGTTATACAGTATGCTTTATCGTTGAGGGAGCAATAAACTGAGGTGCACCCACTGCATTTTTAGGAGTGGGACTAGGCATGGACTGTTATATGTTCACAATAGCGTTAGGTTATCAAAGTGTTTGCTTATATATATATATATATATATATGTATATATATATATATATATATAATCCAACTGTCTTTTTCTAACCAGAAAATTGATAAAACAATATAATATTGACCATTATGGTTATTTATTGCTGTTTCCTTTTTTCAAACATAGCATAAATGGGATGCTATGCTCTTAAAAGAAAATTTAAGAGAATGGCACAAAATATTTCCTATGTATTTTTTTCTCCCGTAATTCAGAGCTCGACTTCCTTCTGTTCATTCTGCATGTCCACTTTCCGTAAAGACGTCCTTTTTCCTGTTGAGGATTTCCTTGGCATTGTCGGTGCTTGTCTTGTATTTCGAGAAGAGCCCGTCTGTATTTTACCCCACGACATATTTGGACAGGTGCATTTTGGAATGGATGAAATTGTCATTAGATTCTGAAGGTTATAACTTAATATTCTGTCAAAACATTTTGTATTAGCCATGCGCTGCTTTAACCTTGAGGACAAAACTGAAACAACAAAAAAGCATAGCTGCTGTTCCTCCTCTAGTAACTGCTGACTATTACAGTTACTAGATTTTAAATACTATTTTGGTCTCTGCATTGTAACACATTTATGACACGCTAAGTGGGCTAAATTCACTTAGGCTACATAATTGGATAGCTAATAATAGCTACTAATCGCATTGCCTTAATCTTTTCTTTCCTTTCATGATTTATTGTATGTCTGTAATTTTATGCATTTTAGTTTGTTCTTCTGGGAAATGAAGGAAAAGCACAGACATCTTCAGCCACCTCACTCTCAATGTGCAGCAACAAGTGGAAAAGAGGAAGCGTGCATCATTCTATGCTCCAAACAGCTGGGGAAACCTCTAGGGCCTTTTCTGGCACCCTATTAAAAGTACTTGGAACTATAGCAACAACATGATGGCAAACAGGTGGTTTTAAAACCGTAAAAAAAAAAAAAAAGAAGTGAAACCATATTATACACCATAATACTGGAAACTGAGATGATGATATTGGTGGAAGCAGTGCTGATCAGACAAATTTCAGGAAGTAATTGGTTTATAATGTTGACATATTCACTTGCTCTTCTCTCTCTTCTCCACTTTTGGCTGAAATATTTTTTGTGACTTTTTTTTTTTATTACACATTAGCTGTTTTTATTTCATGTCTTTTTTTTTTGTTGATATAATCAAATACTCAAATCTCTAATTTTCTCTCTACATGTTCTGTTAGAGCCGCATGAGACCATGAATGAAAACGATGACACAGTTGGACACATTATCCAATGCATCATGAAAAATGAAGGTATGTGTCCCACTGACTTCTTCCTCTTCTTGACACTAAGCAGAAAATGCAAAAAAAAAAAAAAAGTCACCTTTACTGGGCGTTTGCTTTACAGACATGCAGCTATGGGATCAGACAACCTGTCAGTAGACAGCCTAACTGATCCTGTTTTCATATATTTATATTTTTTCTTATGGAAATTCATACCAGGGACAACTGCATTGGAACAGCTTTGATATAGCAGATTTGAGTGAACTCCTGGTTTTTCAGTAACACAAGTACTTATGCTTTTCTTTTGTTTTGAAATCCAATGCCACTTAGAGGTAGTTCTGTAAAACGGGAAGTCGGGGATTACAAATTCAGTTCCCCGAAACTCAGAAGAATGCGAGAACTTGACTTCTGACAAAGTTGTCTAATTTATCAGTACAAGCACGCAGCGGTCAAATAATAAGGGAAAAAAATGTTTTAATGTTGTCAGTGGGGAAGATTAATTTAAGACGCACTTTACCCAAAGTATTTAGAGGGCAGAGCAAATTTATTACATTTTCAAAACCCCAATTCAAAAACACAAAAAATACAAAAGATGGATAAATGCCTGTGACAAGCTTCATGAGTAGCTGTTTGTAACAGTGATTGACGATAAAACTATGATATGTTCATCTGTATGAAGATTATTGTCATTACATCCTATGCATAGAATCCTGCTTTGTGGCTAAATTGGAGAATAATGCAACAAGCTGGGTCCAAAACGATAAATGTGTGCTGGCTAAAAATGGGTGCCGTTTCTTTGTAAATCACTGTTCACACACAGCCTGACATGCGTTTCAAAACTGAGGTTTTCATTTTTGGACCAAAAGACAATTACAAAGTCGCCCTTCTCTTACCTGTAGAAACAATTCCAGGATTAAAGTATTAATGTCCCGACACGATCTTGAGAAACTCATCCATGCAGGTTTCTTTAGTTGATTGCTGCAACAGTCTCCTCACAGGTCTGCCTAAAACCCAGAACACTGCTGTTTGTGTTCTCACTGAAACCAGGAAGATGGAGCACTTCGCCCTAAAGTCCTCACACTGGGTCCCTTATGTAGTTTTGTTTAGCATCAAAATACATTCAAAACCTGTTATTATTATCGGCCTTCCAGATCACTCGCATCTTCTGGTTCAAGTCCTACTCTGCATTCTTTGATAAATAACATCATAAACTGTTGTCTGGTTTTCAGCCCGTTATTGTTTTAAAAATGTTTAAAAATATTTTTGTTTTCCTTTTAATCACGTGGAACACTTTGAATGGCCCCGACTGCTGAAAATGTACTATTATATAAAAGGCCCTGAACTCTGAACTTTTTTCCGTCTCGGTGACTAACGTAACGTATGACACAGAAAGGCGTTATTGTCTCCTGAGTTTTACGTTGGCTTTTAGTGGTTTCACAAAATGACTCAAGTCCACGAGTGTCGGACTCCTTTGACGGTGACTCATTTGTCTCATTGTCCACATACTGGGAATCAGGTTTCCTGGAGGAAGCTGTTCACTCTTTGACATATTAGTATATGAATACATGGACTATTTCAAGAAACTTCACACACTGAGTTGTTTTTTTTTTTTTTTTTTTTTTTAATAAAGGAACTGGATGCTATTTATATCCGCAACACATTTTTGAAAAGGAGCAACCCAGAACATGTAGAGCATTCTATGGTATCCAAATCAAAGGGAAATGCTGCCCTCTACAGGCGATTCCCTCACTCACACACGCACACACTGAGCTCTCAACTCAATTCAGATAAGATTCTTCAGCTCTCTTAGTTCATCATCTTCAGTTACATTCTTGTGTTGCGTCTTTAGTTGGTTCAAGCAGCTGGCTTCAACATTGAACCCCTTGCTTTAGTGCAAATACGTGAGTGAGCCGTCATAGCAATCAGTGACCTCTGAAGTTTATAAAACGGCTGTTCCACCTACTCCAGGTGAGTTGCTCCTCTGCCTCTCGCTGCCTTTTTTTCTACCACACAGTGATTCATTAGTGTGAGGCATCAATTTTGGAAGATTTTTACAGTTTGATTATGTATAGGAGAATACATAGTGCAATGAAACCTCTTTATAGATTTGTTTTTTTTTGTTGTTTTTTTTGTCAGACATACATGTTTCAGGCCATGAAGCGGGTTTTAATATCAGACAAAATCAAATTATATTAATTATTTATGTATTATCAAAACAACCTCGCTCTATTTAAAAAGTAATTGCTCCCTATACCTAATATCTTACTGCCATTAAACATTTGAGAAAACTGGAAGTGAGTTGTTAACGGCGTGTTTAACGTCGCATCTAAATTGGATTTAAGTATGGCCTTTGACTAGGCCACTCTGAAACCTGTTAAAATGTTAGTGTTTTGGGGGCCGATCAGAGTGTGCTTGAAATCTGATGACCGGACATTTCCCTTCGTTCTCTGGTAGAAAGTAGAATTCGTGGTTCCATCAGTTGCGACACGTCATCCAGAACAAACCATCACTCTACCACCATGTTTGACTGTAGGGTGTTCCTTTACTGTTCATTTTATCCCAGATGATTTTCTTTTCTTACCTTGATAAGTTATACTTTATATATATAACAGAATTGTAATAGATGCACAAGGACTATTTTTAAGTGCTTTCCCAACTAGTTTGACCTTTTTTCTTTCTATTTTGTTTCATTGATACAATTCACAAATAAAAGTCCTTTTTCAGTTTCTTTTAAGAGCCCCCCAAGTGACCTTAAATTGTACTTTTATGCTGCTACAGCTACCCCTCCCACCACCGACTAACCAAACAAAACACCCCGTGGTAGTTTTATGACAGGAGGATGGTTCACGGAGAAGACGAAGGCCAGCACTTTGAGTCAGACGTCACTACAGATTTTCATAAACTCTTACCAAGTCATATCTTATTTTCCCAATCTCTTTTTAAGCTTTCGGTTCAAAGATGATGTTGCATGCTTATGATAAATGTGGTGTACACGTCAAGGTCTGGCAGGTTAAAATGTGTGCCTATAGGGCCAAAATGTGTAAATCTAAATCCGAGTTGTGTGTATGTATGTGTGTGTATATATATATATATATATATATATATATCCATTGAAGATACTGTAGATACTGTACCACTCTCTGCATCGGACTCTGCTGCTGCATGTGTTTCCATCTGTTTTCATACGACTGTCTGTGTTCCTCCTCAGCAAATTCTGATGCTCTGAACGCCATGGTTCACCAAACCAGCATTGATTCAGATATGTAAGTACATCATGTTTACAAACATCCATCATTTCTTTTTTTTCTTTTTTTCTCTTTTTAAACCCTAAAGCAGGGGTGGGCAATGCTGGTCCTGGAGGGCCGGTGTCCTGCAACTCTTAGATGTCTCCCTGATCCAACACACTTGAATCCAACAGCTGAATCACCTCCTAACTGCAGCCAGGTTCTCCAGAGTCCTGCTAGCGACCTCATTATTTGACTCGGGTGTGTTGAAGTTGAGACACATCTAAAAGTTGCAGGAGACCGGCCCTCCAGGCCTGGAGTTGCCCAGCCCTGCCCTAAAGGCTGAGGTTTCTTGCTTTAAATGGCCTCCTCCACCAGGTGGCACTACATGCCTCCTTTTTAAAAGCTTTCCAAGTCGACCATCACATTTATGAGCAGCACAGGAATTCTCTAAGTAATCAGGCCAGATTCTTTTCCAGATTGGCAGAGTTTGATAGAGGCCAAGCAGCCTGAGAATATTCCCAATATGCCTTAGTGTCCCACAGCAGTGCATTGTGGGATTATTAAACCATGCATGCAGCTGTTCTGGCTGGGTTTCTAGCCAGAATGCATTGTGGGTCTGGGAATTTAAATGGATAAAAAGGAGAACAAAATTAACATTTTAAAGGGCCTTAAACATCTACGACATCCATTACTTTAGACAGAGTGGATTAATGAAACATTAATTTAATTGGGTGTGTTTGCATGATTATTTTTAGTATATTATCAATATTTTTTTTTACTAAGAAATCACAGTGTTTATCTACATGGATTTGTGGCTGCAAATTTGCATTCGGATTTTGCTTCCTTCAGATTATTAAAAATAATTTAAAAGTATCCAATGTTCTTGCTCTGATCTAGACCTTTATTGGGGTCATTTTGACATCGGCATTCTAAATAAAAAGCTTTCTGCTTGTTAGTACAAGATGATCCTTAATTATAAGAAGAGGAGCTGAGATGACTCAGATCAAACTTTTTTTTGTCGTCTTTGATATCTGTAAATGTTAACAAGAAGGGAAATGAGAAAATGGACACACTGGAAGAAGATATGGCAGTAGAAGCTGTAAATCGAATTAGTGTGGTATATTTCCCCCCAGCCTCATCTGTCTTCTGCTTTTATCTTCCTTTCATATTGTTGTAGAGGAAACCTGTTTTGGAGGAGAAAGGCTTTCTTTGATTGGGTGAATAAATGGCGGGAGTCCTGAGGTCCTACTCATTCATCACTCTTTTCTCCGCCAAGCTGCTTTCATGCGTTTTGCCTTCTTCAGTTCTCCCTCCAGATATCTTGATTCACATATTTCCAGTCCTTGTTCTCCCGTTCACTTTGCTTCCTACTGTCCAAATTGCTCTCCATAGTGGCCCCTTCCTTCTCTGGCTGCTACAAGCCATATCTTTCTGTTTCTCTCTGCCAGGTCGGGCAGCCGTCCAACGGATCACTTAGAGATGGTGGATAGGGGAGAAGAGGGGTTTTGGTTGGGGTTGATTTATAGGATACACAGGCGTAGGGTGACAGACAGAAACACAGAGACTTGGACGGAGAGGAAAAGAGGGATGGAGGGGAAACCACGAGCAGGAGAGCGACTGTAGTGTGGCCAGGCTGTGCTATCTTCCTTCCCACATTTGCTTCTTAACTTTCCTTCACCAGCTGCCTGCAACCGTCAGTCTCCGTCAGCTTTCACCTCATCATATCCTTTTTTTTTTTTTCCCTCTCCTGTGGAGGTGTACATCCTAACTATACACCTGCACCAAAAATATTTTCAATGTGCAAAAATTCAGTTTTTGTATAGAATTGTAGGCAAACCTATAGAATGCAGGCATGTCCTTCAGTAAACTAAAATTCTTTATTTTAGTTTAAAGAAAGTTTTCTTTAAACAGTAATACAAAAAAGTCTGCCAACTATATGGATTACAAAGCATCCTTTCTAGTCTAGTGATTCTTGGGCTTTTCGTCCAGATGTAGCTTGTAGCGCCGTGAACTACAGATGGCTGATTATAGGGGCTCATCACAGCTTGTTGTGATATTTATTGTGATGACAAGAATTTGACTATTGCTGCTTTTATAGAAAGAAAATCAGACCCATCCTTGTAGCTTTTGTAGTCATCATCATGTGACGTTTATTATCCAGATGAATCTGAATGAAGACCGTGGAACAACGGTGAACTTTACCAGGAGTGTGTTGCCTTTCTAAAATTACAAGAGCTCATTGATGACTCATTCACAAAGGCAACCATAGCAAGATCTGCAGCACTACAGTCCTAACATGCTTCATTTAAAGTCGGTGCAAAAACACAAAAAGGCCGGTCTCAAACTTCCCTTGACTGAGAGAGAGACTTACTTACTTATACCTGTAGCGCTCTTCCCACCGTTCGCTATGAACCGACCACTAAGCAGTTCTGAGAGGAGACAGGCTGTCGAAAGACTTCAAGTGCCAAAAAATTACTTAAAGCATTTAACAAGATTTCAACTTCTGAGCTGTATACAGGTTTTTCTTTTGTCAATAAAATGTCTTATTATAGTAAAGCTAGTAGACAAAATCTAATAGTTTGTCGTGGTTTTTGAGACTGTTTTTCTTCGGGAAAAAAAATAAAAAATTAGAAAAGAAGCTTTGAGTTTGTTTAATTTATTCCAAAATGTTATGATGTTTTCTCCACATATAAATAGCATTAATCGGCCAGAAATTCTCAATTTTTACAACTGAAGGTGGAACATGTGAACGTGGCAAAGTGAGATTAAAAGAAGCAGTCTTTATTTCTTCTTGAAAGAAAAAGAAGTTTTATCAATGTTAATTTTGAATTGCTTGATTTGTGGAGGACTGTAGGGTTGAAGTTCTCAAGTTTTTAGGGAAACCTATTCTCAGTCTAATTGGTGTGTGTGTGTCTGTGTGTGTATAAATTGAGGGCATACTTTTGACTTCTAAAAAGTTGTATTATGTAACTGGGTATTTGCATACAACAATCTGTCCCTCACCCTTTTGATGTTTTTGCAATTAAAAAAAAGAAGCTAATAAACCTAATTCAACACATCAATCAATTTCTGCTAAGCATGTTGACGTCCTTCTTCTCCAGTGTTGTTTTTTTTCTTTCTTTCAGTGAAAGAGAAGTGGGCTCAAAATGATTGAGTCTCCGCATTAGTAACAAACCATCTCCGCATTGCTTATTTTCATCAGGCTGCTGCTGCTGTGTTTCTTCCACAGTGGTGTGCAAACAATACAAACCGCTGCTCTCCAGGGTCATAAAAGACAACAACATGTAGGAGAACAAAAAGATGAGAAGCATGGCCTTAATTAGCTCCTCTTGCTGGAATCCAGAGATAAATTTTAAATTGAAAAGAAAAAAATTGGAAGAGGGGACGAAAAAGAAAAACCCTACAAAAAACCGTATCATGACTGTATGTCATGATACGGTTTTCGCCGCTGCAAAGAGAAACTTGCCAATTTTTTATCTTTTTTTTTCCTGCCTTAAAGAAAATCAATGAGGGCTGGTTCTCAGGGAGCTTGTCAGTAATTGCTTAGAGGTATGAAATATTAATGTGTCATTCAGCGGTGATGGGTTTTAATAGAGGAAGCGCCGCTCTACTGAATAAGCTTTAATTTTCTCTGTAAGACTGATTGAAAGCAAGTTGTTGGTTAGTTTGGGAAATTTCTCAAAGCTGCCTGTGTCAGTGTTTTCCTTTCATTAAGCGTTTGCAGTATCAGTAATGAAAACTAAGCTTTTTAAATTGATCTCTTTTAATAATTATTGTTCCGGGGGAGGGGCTGAACTACAGTGTCACCACTGAAGGGTTTGAAATGCCGTGCTGGTCGACGCGTCAAATATCTTTGCTTTATTGTGCGTTGGTCCACGTAAGACGGCTAAAAATGACAGTATCCTGACTGTCAGGATATGAATTACCATAGCAACCGCTGCATGTCTGAATCTTTCTTCTGGTGCTCTTGAATGCATCACTCATCCTGTCCTCCCCCCGTCCAGCCTAAGCTAAATTTCCAGAGTGTGCCGGTTGTTTACCAGGTGAGGAAACCTTTAGAAATGTAAACGGCTCACGGAGAGTTTTCAGTGTCGGATGCTTGACTAATAGACATGAAGGAGGCACTGAATCAAAGAGTGCCGATAAGGAAGAGGCGTTTAAACAAATGGGACTTTTACTGCAACATAAATCACAAACTGTGATAAATCCCCGAAGTACCAGGATGTTAGTTTAGTTTGAAGTATGTGCGTTTCCTTTATAAATCTTTACTGTCTGTTTTGTTTTTATTTTTTTTCAGTGCATCGTCCCCACCGCTCACCCCCGTGTCGCCTCCAGAAGAAGCCAAGCCCTCATTCAACCATCAACACACCATCGGCAGCGTCAACGCCGACGAGAACAAATGTCCGCTGACCAAGAGGCCCTCGCAACGAAAGTCAGTCAGGCGCCGTCCTAGTGAAGTCACGGTCCTCTCTGTGGGCAGGTGGGTAAACTCCTTAACTCGTAAAAGAACTCGTTTACTGATGGATTTTCATAAAGCATAAAACTACCCATTTGCCTTTAACTAAAATTAGAATATTACACATTTCGATTAATATTAATGCATGTACAAAAAGTGCATTTTAGTTATTTTTTTGTTCTGTTGGCTACAGTTGAAGATAAATTATGGGTTTTCAAAGTTTTTACTGGTAAAAATTGAACATAACTGAAGTTTTGGTGCATCTCTTGCCCCTGATGTAGTCAGAAACACGTCACATACGTTTTAAATATACGCATGTAAATTTGGATTTTAAACCATCTTTTTTTTTTTTTATCATTTTGACAGAAGTGTAAAGTTACATATTGGCTTTGTAAGAACTGATGATTGAAGCGTCAAGTTTAGGTTTCTTTCTCTAATAGATGGAAGTAGATGTGACTGCAGAGTCTTTCATGCATAGTGTTGATTTGACGCTCACTTTCTGTGGATTCTTGGTAGCATCGCATTACTAAAGTGTTACAAAATCAACAGGAAGTCTGTTCTGTGTCGCATTGACCCTTTAAGTCAAATCATTTTAGTTCTTAAACTAAAATGATTTGATTTAAAGAGGCTGCACTCTTAGATAGCCTTCAGCGTGAAGTGAGTGCTGAAGCTGGGTTCTTATGACGTTCTCATTTAGGCCACAAACGGTAAATCTAGGAAAACGTTAACATGCTTTTCTTCTTCAGGTTTCGTGTGACAAAGTGTGATAAATCAGGAAAGGATCGAAACTCTGAAGGCAGCTACCAGTTGGCGTCAGCAGACGCCTCCCGCAACAGCAAAGTCGTGACGCAGTCCGTTAAGGTCGGTTCCGTCGGAAACTTTAATCGTCTCTGCCAAACTCGGTCGTGCATCTCTTCTTCTAATATCGTGTGTAAATCAATTTCAGTTCAAAGTCTTGAAATCTTAAAAAAAAATAAAAAAATAAATACAACTAATTAAATAGAGGGAATAAACTTAAGGTTGTAAATGTTATAAATCTATCAATGGGGGGGGGGCGGACCTACTGTTGAATACTTTTTAGGAAAATAACTGATGCTGGCCTCTAACGAATCGTACGTTTTTCTGGAAAGAAAATGTATTCATAAGTTGATCAGGGTGTTTTAATTGGTACTCCATGACTTCCCGTTAACCTGTTCTTCAAAATGGGAAAGGCTAGAGATCATAGCAACTGTTAAACTTGGCCTCAACTGCAGTCGGAACAATAACTGAAAAGTTTAAATGATTCTGACAAGCAAGGCGTGATATGGGTCCATGTGTATCTGCTCTTCACACACCATAGGGAGGAAGGTAAAAATCTTGGGATTACCATGTCTCTATGACAACCATGTTAAGGTTTTTGTACACAAAATCTGTTTTTTTTTTTTTTTGTGAGGAAAAAGAACTGGTGGTAAATTTATTAAGAGAAGATGCCAGGATAAGTCTGGAGCATAGAGCTGTTCTGATGGTTTAATTAGGATTATTTATCTGTGATAGAAATACTTGTGGCATAACCCCCAGAAATTCAGCTTTTATGTTGCAAATTAAACACATCAGAGGTAGAAATGTTTAGCCCTACCCACAGTAATTGATGCTGTGTGAGATGTATAAAATAAGCACATATTTTGCATTTATTTCTATATAGAGTGGCTAGTTTCGACTATGCCATTTTGAAGAGTGGTGTGCTACCTGACATAAACAATGAGCTGTGGGGTCAGTACACTCTGATCAACCAATAATTTTGTGAGAACAATTAAAGGTTGGATTTTTCTACATGTTTCAGTTTGAGGATGTGCTGCTGCAGTAAATTTAGGGGATTTTTTTCCCCTCCTCTTTATGTTTGTGAGTAAATGTGGAGCCTTTGTCCAGGTGTGATGTAGTTCAGACACGTAAAACGGCTGTGCTGTTGAGCAGGACCTTTGTGTTTGTTTCTGTCCTTTAGTTTAATCTGGACGCTGAGAGCTTCTAATCTGAGAGGCACCATCTGAGGATTTGGAACAACCTGATTTAGATCCATCAGACTGAATCAACACCTTAACCAAATTTGCTTTAGTGGGGTGGGGGGAAACGTTGTGCTCACTAACATCCGTGTTTGCTCAGTTCCTTACCGTAAGCCCTGCTGTTAACTTTTAGCGTTGTCATGCTGATGCTGTAGGAGAAAAGGAAAAATTCCCAGGATGAGGAATGAAACCTGCACAGTGATAGAAAAATAAAAAATAATAATCTTTTATTTAATTATTTTCATTTTCCTGACAGGAAATGTCAGAAGACTGAGAGGAATGATAGAAGTTCAGGTAACTTGTCTTGTTTTTTTTTCTTTTTTTTTTTGTTTTTTGTTGCATATTTTCAGTATGTTACTTTCCTTCCTAGTTTTCCACACGGAGAGCAGGACCAACATCTTGGCACTTTAGATTTCCTTTTTCTTCAGACTTCGGAGGGACGAACAGATCCAGGAGGGGTCTTGTCCCATTGTTGCTCCACCGGTAGTAGAATCTGCTGCCGAGAACCTGCTGTACAGAAGAGGAAGAAAATTTGCGCCATTTTTTTTTTTTTCCCTTCCTGCAGTAAAGTTCCAGCAGCACCTGGCTCGGAGGTGGGACAGCAGCCTGATGCTCTGAGCTGAGTTTGAACCAGGGCTTTCAGTAACTATGGCAACACACCAAAGTGCTCTATGACGGATGTATGTATATATGTTTTTATATGTAGAATAATAAAATATAGCATTGGTGTGTGTTGTATCAATTTAAATGATAAAAGACACCTAAAAGCAGGCAGAGACGAGAGCTAAAACAGGAAGCTGGAGCGAACCGATGCAGCACCAGGAGATCCACCGGGTCAGTGCCACCGGTGATATGTCATCTCCTGTAAAACCGTTAAATGAACTCAAAGTGCTTTTTACCATCTCTCATCATCAAGTTTCTATTTTATTTTATTATTTAATTATATGTTTTTTGTGTGTGTGTGTTCTGTCTTGCCTCAATAAAGAACTCCAAGTCAAACTAGAGAAAAACTACACTTCCTACAGAAATGCAGTGTGAATGTTGTAAGCTGAATATTTTTAGTGTAAATGGGAGATGCATTTGAAGTCAACTGCAGAAATGTAAGAAATGGGCAGAAGCAACAAAATAAAGCAAAAGGCCTGCAAAAATGCTACTAGAAAAACTGCACAAGAGTGAAAACATCTACTCAATGCAAAAATCCCACCCAGGATATTAGAAATTTGAGTAGAACACTGTTTACAAAGCTAAACTAGGGTCACAACCATTTATGAGCTAAAATTAGCTAAAGAGGTGAAGCTAGATGAAATACTAATAGCCTCTACATTAGGTCTAGGATCCTGACCCAGGGTAACATACTCCATGCAGTGTGGGAAAAAAACCCATAAATGTAATAACCAGAAACGGTCTCCATTATTCTTTCAAAGCAAAAGAGACTGCTGTTGAATGTAGACGGTAAGAAAAATGATTTTTAGCTCCAGTGCAGAGTAGCACATGTGTTGAAATTAGCTAAAGCTGATGGATTATGGGTTGTGGAGCACTACCATGTTTCATAACATTAAAATGTTCCATCTAGTGTGATAACAGCAATGTATAACACAAGCTAATGTTAGATTAAATGCTGTCAACAACCTGCTATCATTAGCACGTTGTCTAAGATTGACTAAATTTAGTAGGTTTTCATGAAATGTAGTGAAAATAATTTTAGCTAAAGTTTTAGCCCTCATGCTGTCACTCACTTGTTGAATATGTAAATTCAAGCAAATCTTTATTTGCCAAAATGCTAATATTAGCAAGAGAACCATCACTAGAATATTCACAATGTGCTCCTTATAGCATGGTAGCTATAGTTTGTAAGCTGAAATGCTATCGATACCTGAACAGGTAATTGTTAGTTTGGCCGACGTTATTCACTCTATTCAGTTAAGACATTTGCTTTTGGGTAAAATGGCTTACACGCTAAAGCTAATGAGATGCAAGTGTTCCAAGTCTACAGGATTTCAGTAGCGTTTTAGCCAGCAACTTTCAATATGCCAGAATTTAGCATTCATATAAAAACTGGCTAAAATGCTAATTTAAGATTAGGGTTACCCTTACTCCAAGTTTCTGGGACAGTCTTCCTTTCACCCAGAGATCTCTGGATTTCCAACAAAGTTGTTTTTAAGTCTGCTTTTTCCTTATGAAACATTGATTTATATTTTTAAAAGTGCAATACAAAACTTTACTTAGTCTAAAGTATTGTCTCATATACAACTGGTGCTGGAAGGAGGGTCAAAATTAGGGTTTTCACCCCATCATAAAAAAAGAAACATGCCAAATAAATCTTGGAAAGGCCAACATGGATTTGAAATTCTTGCCCGTCATGACTGGATGTGATGTTCTGACAGGAACTGTAAGTGTGTTTAGTAGTGACTGTTAGTCACCAGAGAAGATCTATTTGTGGTCCATAAAAGTAAAAAAAAAAAAAAAAAAAACTTTTCTACCTTTAACTGTGATAAGAAACCATCTGAGTCATAATTTAAGAGGTGAGTCATAACTCAGACTACCATTTTCTTGCATATTTCTCTCTGTAAATGTCACTTCACTTTGCCTCGTGTTTAACGCACACATTCTGGACGGGTTTATCCATCTTAAAGCTGTGGATAAAGAAGATAATAAAAAATAACACCTAAGAAACACTGCGGAGAGGCACCATTATTAAGGACCTGTGTCCATTCACCTGCAGGCTACCTTTTCTCTCTGATCTGATGGAGCCATCCATCTTCATTTTCCATTCCGTCTCATTTCACCCTCCACCTTCTCCACCCTCGGAGGGACTCCTCTCTTTCCCTCTCTGCTTCGTGCTCTAATGAAAAGATGATTTGTCTTACTCATCTCGAGTAAGCCGACCTTCAGCTCTCGACCATGTTATTTCCAGATAATAGAGATGAGGTGTGTTTGGAGCACAAGACCGAGGATTAACAAGCCTTGACTTCCCCCCCCCGTCTTTTGTTTTTTTTTTTTTGTTCCGTCTCCGTTGACCTTCTGAGGCTCGTCGGGCTCACCCACGTAACGAGCTCATGTTCTCGGTAAAGGACGTGGGCTTTAAGACAGAAGGATAAATACGGTGAGGAGAAAGCAGTTCATTTGGGTCGTTATTTGACTAAATTATTAACACGGCGGATTGACTTTCATGGTGGTTGACGGGGAAGTTTCTTTTTAGTCAAAAAGGTCACAGAAGGTGACGCCTCCGCGCCCTCGGCTGTAGACTCAAAGTCCTGCGGAAACGCACTAAGTTTGGTTGCAGGGCGTTGAAGCTGTCAGAAAGCTGCTGGATGACAGCGTGGAACATGAGGAAAGCAGCAGAGGAGGCAGCAGCAGCAAATATTGACTCCTGATACACGCGTGTGTTTACTTTAGCTTGCACCGGGACATGGAACCAAAGGGCGTCCACCTCTTCCGAGTACGGTCTGTGAAACCGCAGCGGAACAAATCCCTCCATTAGGCATATGAAAGTGTACAGGTACAGCTCTGATCCGTCTTCTGCAGGACTTCACAGGCTGTAAATTTATCCCAGGCACTGAATTATTCAGGCCTTCGGGCCACAGGTTCCCATGACGATGCCAGGCTGATCGCCCGCATCCTGTCTCTGATTGTGGCTGGTTGGAAGGAGGACTGGGCTCTGGAGAGGGACTAGTCCAAGCACCCATTGTCTTCCTTCCACCTTACCATCCTTTCTTTCTTCCATCCTTCCTTTCACCTTACCATCTTCCTTTCTTTTATTTCAACATCCTTCCTTTCAAACCTCCTTCATTTCATTGCTTCTTCTTGTTTTATCCTTCCATCTTTTCTTTCATCCATCCATACTTTCGTCTTGCCATTGTTTCTTCCATGCTTGATTTTTATCCCTCCATTCTTCCTTTCATCCTTACCAATTCCTGTATTTATGCTGAGATCTCTACTAACATGAGTTTGGAAAAGTTTGTATTTTGTTTTTTATAAATGTGTAGGAACCCAGTCTGACTGAAGGGGACACTCTCTCTTCTTTAACGGGCATTTAGGAAAACAGAGAGGAAGCTGATTTACCTCTGACCCAAAGCAGATCACTGACCTTCTGAAGTGACTCACCCTGATTCCCTCTTCGCCCAAAACTGCTCTCCGGTCATTCAAAGAGTCCAATGAGGGGGCAGCGGTCACTGTTTGGACCAGCAACAATAACTTTCACCTGGATGTTGAAACGGCAAACATTACATGGAATAATAGCCTTTTAGGAGAAACACGCCTAATACCGTTTCCAGGGAGACGGCCTAATCTTTAACTACGGTAAAACATTAGCCATTCTCTGAAGATGTTGGTTCCGTTCCAACAAGAGGAAGTCTATTTTGAGCCCTACCTTGAGGTGATTAAACAGCGAGCTAGTACATTAATGATAAAAAAAAAAAAACGTTACAAAAATTGGCATGTTTTTCTTTTTTTTAAGAGAGAAGACACATTTTCAGAATAAAATCTATATTTTTGTAGGAATATTAGAGAACTGGTGTTCTGAGATTTTATCCTTTACGCCACCGGTGCTCATGGAGTTTGAGTTTCTATAAATAGGTACAATCAATCAATATTTGAACCCCCCTCTGAAAACGCTTAGAATTGCCTACCTTAATAATTGAAACATCAAACATAACTTGTTGCGCATGAATATATGCACTTTGGAAACCGTTTTAGCACTACCGCAGAAGCTAACATCCGCAATCTTCCTTACCTCCGCTCCTTTGGGCACAGCCAATCACCGTCAAGGAAAATGAGTGGTGCTCCTTGATTGGCTGCTTTGCACATGCCATCCAATAGCGTGTGTAGTAGCATTATATGTAAGTTTTCACTCACTAACTACGGGTTGAATTGGTTTCAGCTAATTTATTTATTTATTTATTTGTATTTAAACCAGAAAATGTTTGTTGTCTATGACATATATGGCAGTGCAATGATTTCGTTGTAGTTTTTGCCAGTGAACAAAGACAACCCGTATGGAGAGTCGACTAACCTACCTGTTCCTCTTGAGAGGTGGAAGTGTGTTTCTCTGTGCGACAATTAAGGGTGACATCATTCACTTCAACAGAGCTCTGAGAAAAACAAACACATTAACGGAGCACACACACCTCAGGGACTCTGCAACCAGCTGCCTAATGGACCCAATAAAAACAACATGAAGGAATCTGACATACAAAGTGTTCCTTTTATTTGCCCTCATATCGTCCGTCCGCAGCAGGGTTAGCTCAAATTAGCTTGTTGCAATGCGCGATTTTGTGCCGTTATCTTGGCGCGTGAGTCACTGGAAAGTTGAGTGATATATTGAAATGTGGCATTCATGTGTAATGGAAAAGTACAATACATTGTTCACACACTTCCAGTACAGCAGATGGGAATGCGGCACTAATTTAACAAACTAACAGGCATTTATGACGTCAAACGAAACTGCATCTTAAGGACGTTATTAATGCTTTTGGATCATTTATTATTTTACTGGTACGTGGTTTTCTTAATTCCCAGCTGCTCTCAGGCAGACTGTGGCGCGTCCTCTCATCAATAAAACAGATTTACATCTTTACATTTAGGACTGTTTCCAAGCTGTTTTGTTCTAAGGCTCTTGAGATTTTTTAAAAACATTTTTTCCCGATTGCAATTTCTTTTTCTTTTTTTTTATGAAAACTGCAAAATTTTAGTTTGATTCTACACAACTAAAACAGTTAATTTTGCCCGTTGATTCTGGGAACTTAGTTGCTTTGGTGATTTTAGACTTTTGTGCTGTTTTTGATAGTTTACCTTAGAAGATGCTTCTTTTATGCTTTTAACTAGAGCCAAATATATGGGGAGATTTTACTGCCGTAAGTCGAGAACACACATTTTCAGCCTAGATAGATGTCTATCTATCTAGACTGATACGTAGCCACACAGGCATACGCACTAGAAGGAAACAAACACACCCTTGACGAAGCTCCCAGCCTCCCACTGCCCAGTATTACACTTTGATTGATGTTCTGTTGGCTGGAACGTTGCCAGGCTATCATATTTTTATGTTTTGAAAGAGAGCAAGACAGTGCATATTTGAAAGACAGCAGCAGTTTTGAGTACAAGCATTACAAGTTTTAAGAACAAAGACAAAAAATCCTGCTTGAGACTGAAAATGTGTGCTCTCGAATTATGGCAGTAAAATTCCCCCATACAAGCATTTCATATTACATATATGCAGAAAGATCTGGCTAGCTTGCTATATTGTTCTACTTATTTCAATCAACCTCACTCTTGTTTTTAATGTTTTAATTGACCGCAAGATTATTTTTATTGAATTTTTTTTTGTTTATTCTAACTTGGTTGCACTAGTTTTATTTATTTTGAACTTTATAAAACAGTGGAATTTCTCTGTCTTACCTACATAGTTAGTGTTGCTAAAAACAAGTAAGAACCCAAAATAACATATACTACAAATAATAAAATCCTGAAATATTCATGGTAGTTATCGTTTCTTTTGAGAACACTTTGTGTGAATCTGGCTGATCTTTTTTTTTTCCCTTCATACTATTCTGTGTATAATTAAATATTCAAATATTCAGGGTAGCATAAGAAGACCACGTACACAAGGGACAAGTCTGAAAACTAATCCTGAATGGCTATAAGAAGTCAAACAATGTTACTGTTGGAAGCACAAATCTGAGCACAGATTATTAAAACATCCATCAAAGGAAGCATCTAAATTTAGCTGTAAACCGATGAACACCAGCAAATACAATATTCCTACTTGAAACCAAGAGGAGAGGAAGCATTTCACTGGATTTGCCTCAGATCATGAGGTGTTGGTTTTTTTTTTTTTTGTTTTTTTAACAGTGGTCTGACTAATTAATTATCTTTTCCATAAAAAGTCACTGTCTATCCGTCTGTCCATTCGTCCTTCCAAGTCCAAATTTCCCGCTCTCCCATTTGTTCTGCGGTGTCCCAATTCACTGCCAGGCCAGGAACTGATTAATCTCGTTCCGCTGATTTGTCACATGTAATGTAGCAGCAGAGGAGCCTAGTCAAAGTTTGGGCTTAAATCCAACTGTAGTGCTGGGGTGTTAGATAAAACAGGAAAATGCAGGAAAAATCTCCAACGTGACTAAATAATAATAATAATTTAAAAAAAAAGCATGTATTTGTATAAAAAGTTGTATATAAATATACAACTTCATATTTTTTCCCATTAAAATATAAAGTTGTAATTTGCATTTACTCAGGTTATCTTTGTGCAATGTTAAAACTGGTTTAATTTTAAGCCATTTTTTTGAAGAAGAAATCTGTTAGGGGACAAAATGCTTTTTAAGTAATGAGCAGTGGTTTTGATTTATTGTTAAAATAAATAAAACGATGACTAAACAACAAGCTAACGCCTTTAAAAGCTTAGAGCTGCTTCTCCCTCTGACTTCAGACAAGTCGACTTATTGCAACCACAAATCGTTTTCATTGCGGTTTTGCTGTTATTGTTGAACTTTGGCTTGTGATTCCACCACCTTGTGATTCCACCACCTTGTGATTCTACCTCTGACTAAACAGGTTTCCTCTGTGTTTTGTCATCCATCACGATGAGAACGCAGAAATACCAAAAACACAACCTCTGTAGACACAGCGCTCCCAGTCGTTTTACATCAAAGCTCGGGATAAACCGTGGCTGCATTCACACACACGCACACACACACACACACACACACACTCGCATTCAGAATCAGTCTGTCCCTGTGTGTGTGTGTGTGTGTGTGTGTGTGTGTGTGTGAGAGAGAGAGAAAGAGAAAATGCTATATATGACAGCTTTCATGTGACGTCGCTGTGATGCTTCAAATTCAAAGCTGAGGCAAACATCTTCAGGGATTCAGTGGTTTGTTTGTGGAGGAAATATGAAAAAGATCAAAGTTCCAGAAAGAAGCCAAAAGAGGGAGTTTTGTCATAAAAACATTGTGAAAATATAATTGAAGGTTTATAGTTTAATAATACAGCCACGATATTAAAATGATCTGCAACACAATTTTTTTTTAAAAAGTGGAATTTCAAACACTTATCTAAAAAAAGGGGTCAAGATGAAGAATCTCGTGCGAAGAGGAAGACCGATGAAGATAAAAAAAGAAGTTGTTTGCATGAATAGATAAAAAGAAGGAAAAAGCTATTCTGGCATATCATCCGTTTCCATCTGAGACGGCCACAGATAGCCTCATGCTCTCTCGATGTGAGCAAGTTGAAAGTCAGCAGATCTCCATTCTTGTCATTATCATTATTCCAGGCTGCTGTGGAAGTTACTATGGTTCGCTGTGAGCTCAAGGGCCGTTTGCGTACCACAAAGCCCCAAAGGTGTTCATTAGCCGGGGTCCCAGGGGCCACGGATGATGCCCGCTGAGGCTCTAACTGCTGCAACAGCGAAGTTTAAGCAACTACCACCCACACGGATCGCTATTAGTTACACAGAACAAGAAAGAAAAAAAATAATCCCAACATTTGCCGCTATGCAGAATCATTGAATCTCTTTATGCATTTCCTTTAGAAAGATAATATAGTCACAGATCTGAAATATTAAGTATTATTTATATTTCAGATCTCTCTTCCTTCCCTGTCTTTCAGAGCTTATTGTAATTTTTATTTGGCATGCCTCTCTCTCTCCAGTTTTACAAACATGTTTCTCCCTAATTCTCAATATATGGTACTGTGAGTAATTGGAATAAGGCTAATTTAAAAATTAGCTTAAGTTTTAATAGCTTGCTATGCAAACAAAAGTAATCTTGCATATGTCAGATACTGTTTTTAATTCAATTTACCATAACTAGTTCATGGTTAACAAGCTAATTACCGAACTATCTACAATACCCAGGACCTAAGCTAACTGAAAAATGTGTTTCTTCTTCAGTCTACAACTGTTAGGTAGTTTAATTTTAGCAAGCTAATTAGCTAGCTGCACACTCTCAAGTTTCAAACGTGCTTCAATATTTAAGAAATGGTAAGTTAGTATTTAAAAAAAAATGTAATAAGCTTCTATAATGGTTTACACAAACAGCTGATTCTGTTTTTCCCCCCGTAGTTTATTAGCAAGCTAACCAGCAAGCTAGCTACGCTCACAAATTTGAGTTTCAAACTTACCCCATCAAAAATAAAAAATATGACTGTCCATGTAAGACGTTTTTATGATGGCTTCATAAACATTCAGCTATTGTACTTAGGTTTTAATGTATTTACCAAACCAAGGTTGTTAGCAGGCTAATTAGCAAGACTGCTAACAGTAGGCTTGAACATCAAGAACTCTAAGTTTAAAACTATCCTAAATAAAAAAGATAAAAATTGTATCATAAAGCTGATAACATGACTTAAGAAAAATCATAAAAAATAGAAAGAAAAAACTCCAAGCATATTAGAAATGTCTAACATGTTTATCTATGACACCTTGGGAATATTTTTTACAGATGATTAATGTGATTTTTTTCTTCCTGAACAAATAAATATATTACTGTTATCAAGCCTATTAAAAGCCATTAGAGGAAATATTTTGTGCGTCTACAAAGATGGGAACAACAGTAAATTATTTCACACAGCCTTTATTACACTGATTTTATTTTATGGTACAAATGCAATGAGGAGAAATGATTTGGCAGGCAAATGATTAAAATGGGGATTCTCCTTCATTTCATCCGGATTACTTCTTCAGGAATGAGTCAGCCTTAATTAGCTCGTTTTCAGGCACATGAGCTGAGCGGATGTCACAGACTAGACAACAAATCCAAAGCTTGACCTTTAAAACCGAAAAAAAAAAACAAACAAAAAAAAACAACAACAAGAAGTTAGCAGGCGCTTGTGTGGTTGCTGAGGCTAATTGACCTTTGCTTGGCTTGTTAACCTTGGCTGTAAAAGCTGTATTGGAGGCAAAAACAAGACACATTTCCTAAAATAAAAAAAGAACATTAATTATGTGCATGAATCATGTTTCCATTGCTTTCTCTTTATAATTGCAGCCTGATTTTATGTTTGTTGTGCTATTCTGAAATTAGCGAGGACATAAAATAAGAAGAGCTATGAATAAGGGCTAACTCTGCTCTTTTCTGGCTGTTAAATACTCCCAGTTTCTATGTGAGATAAAGGTGAAGACTTTATAAATAACACCAAAACGCAATAAAGTTACACTAACAATAAATCAAATGTAAAAAGGTATTTCGTGACCTTTCCGTCTCTCTTAGTTGCACGGTATTATAAAAGCATTCCTTCCCTTTGAAATTTGTTCCATTTTGTCACGTTGCAGTCCCAAACCTTTATGTATTTCATTGATATTTTATGTTAGACCACCACAAACAGTGAAGCAGAACAATAAGGTTCAAACCGTTATCAAAAATAAAAAGAATAAAAAGTGTGGCGTACATTTATTCACCCCTTTTACTCCCATACCTCTAAATAAACTCCATTAACACTACCAGGGAATACATTAAAGAACGTGCTTTGGATAAATTACCTGTGCGTAATAGTGGCTCAGTCAAAGTCCCAACCTAAACCCAACCGAGAATCTGCATCATGACATAGAAACCGATTTACAGTCATTCCCCTCCTAATATGACTGAATTTGTTTTTGCAAAGGCGGTTATATGAAGAATTTACTTAAAAAGTGCATTTCTAACTATTCACTTACTCATTTAAAAAAAAAAAAAAGATTTTTTTTTCCCCCACTTTAAAATTAGAAACTATTTTGTCTCAGTTGATCACATAAAATATCAATAGAACACACTGGAGTCTGTGGTTTTTTCAAGGTATGCATGGCACTTTAAATGGATGGATTCTTAAAGAGGTTGCAAGCAGGGCCTGTGTTTACCAAAGAAATGTGGGCTCCCGTAATAAAACCAATGGCTAAGCGTCATAATTAAAATATCCTGCTGATGTCGTGTCCGTGTCGGAGTACCTACAGCCTGTTAGGAGCGTGGAGTGTACGGTGCACCGTGGTCCAGCTGCAGGCCGTGTTCGGTCCAGACGCTGGAGTCTCTTTAGTTGCAGCTTTGAGAATGAAGCCTCCTTCACAAGGCAGATATTATCCGTCCGTCACAGGAAAGATCGGCCACAACTTCAAAAATAAATCTGTTTCCAGCAGAGTTTTTTCCTTCATTTGTTTTATGTCCATAGATAAAAACTTCATTGTTCAGAACTTTGGCAAAGTTTTATGGCGGTTCTGATAGTTCTGTCAAGTTGCTTTAAAGCAGCATTAGGTAACTTTTCTTTTTTTAAAAATAGCTTTTTTTAATATATTTTTGTTAAGGCTGTCACCATGTCATGACAATCTTCTACGAGACAGATAATCAGTAATCATCCTCATGTATGCGCCGCTCACACCCTCCCCATTCGCTATGCTGCACTACAGCAGGTTCACCACAACAGAGGCTGTCATGAATGTGAAGGCTAGTTAGCATGGTCACCTCTAACAGCAGATAAACAGTTTTCCTGGAGTGGTAAGTTGATTCTTCACCATTAGTGCATTTAGCAGCGAGTACACAAGAGTAATTGACGGCACCTAACAGCTTTCTCCTGGCTATTATTGGTTGTTTTTGACCAGGAGCGGTAAATTTCTTCACACAGAAATAGTAGCTCAGAGAGATTTTCTGTCTCATATGATCTCGTCACGACACTAAGACAGTTTCCACAAAAATGTAAAAATCACATTTTTCGTTAAAGTTACATACTGTAGCTTTAAGGGTTCGTTTTTCAATCAGAATCCTCCCCGGCGGTGGCGGCCTCCAAAGCAGCAAGAGCCTCCGCCACCATAGAGTCCGTGACGCTCTGCACCTCCGCCTGGTCTTTCCTCATCTCCTCCTCGTCCTCCTCATCCTCGCTCTTCGTCACAGAGATACCGCTCTCCTCTGTGCAAACGTCCGCAGTCTTTGGCAGCGTGAGCTCATCCCTCGTGCCGCCAGAGGACAAGCTGGTGTTGCTGGTGTGGATGTCCACGGACAGGACGCTGCCCTCATCCCCGGTGTCCCAAAGGTGCTCCGGCGTCACCCCAACGCCCTCGTCGATCTCGTCCACCGACGGGGTCCTGCCTGCCGTGCTGCAGGTGGTGATGGAGCTGTCCCACCCGTTCGTCATGGCCTCGTGCTCTGGCTCGCTGTAGCTCCTGTGGTCTT